GTATATACATGTATGTATGTATATATATTTAAATATATATGTGTGTGTGTACATGTATTTGTATGTATATATATATATATATATATATATTGTACTTATTTATATAATTATATATCATGACATATATATATATGTGTGTGTGTGTGTGTGTGTGTGTGTATTATATATATATATGTGTGTGTATATATATATATATATGCGAGTGTGTGTGTGTCCTGGACTACTTATTCACTCGCGTATCTACATGTATACCTCCACCGTAGGGACCGGTGGGTGGGTGGCGATGCTGCAGTATACGTGCCTATTGCGCAACTATCAGTACTTCTGCAAAGGGGATCGACTTGCTCTCAAGAACACCATGCTGGCGTATAGCATACAGTACATCGTAGATCTGGCGGTGATGTGCAAGGTACGGCGCTGTATTGAAAACACTACCGCCCTCATTCGTGTTGTGCCTCTCTACGGGTGTGCAGACTATGTCCACTTCTTCACTTCTACCGCAGCCGCAGTCAAAGCCTATTCTGAGGATACACTATGTACTGGCCCTATCGTGCTCAAACACACTAACCCACCGCTCCCGTCTGCGACATACTTAAGTGTTCTGTATATCTGCGTGGGTCGCCTCTGTGACTGGTTTGAAATTGTTTCTCATTCACCTGCCTTCGATTCTGCAGATTCCATACTTGGCTGTCATGGTGCGGTCTCTAGCCAACCCGGGAAGTAGAGTGTGTACCATATTCAGAGATCCTTCAGGTAGGTATGCTCGACATTGGATTGGTAGGTATGCTCGACACTAGATTCTTGCTACACCACACTGATACCGACGTTCGTCAGTGGTATTACTGCTGGCTATGTAAAAGTGTGAGCAAACTATCAGAAGGCAGCGATCTTTTACCTATCCAGACCGGTCGTTATCTCATACAGTCAAACCTAAAGTGTTTAAAATTGTACCACACTACCGCTATTGGACATTTCCCATTTCTTGTCACATATTAAATCGTCAAAAACCACCACAACCCCTAATGCACAATTCTCAATCACTCGTAGGCGAAATCCCGGGAGAGTTACACCGAAAAGTCTTGCAGCGGTATCATGATTTGAGGGTTGGCGATGTCATGGTGCTTAAAAATGTGAGTGTGCTGTCTATGTTTATTGCTTTGCATTTGAGAAACTTCCCCCTGGTTCTGGCCACGCAGATGCTTGTACGTAGTTCTTGCGCCCAGTATTGGGAGGAAGCCATGTCTTGTCACCTATATGTGTCACTGTGCTAAGCTACGACTCGGTCGACTGTTGTTCAACAATTTCTGTTGGCGCATCCTTTAATAATTTATATTTGTATTCCCTGCTGGTCAATGCAGGTGTCGGTATTGTACCCGAACCCGACGGAGTGCTTCTTGAATATCACACTGAACAATATAGATCGAGTGTTCTCGCACAAGGGAGAAGACCTCACTGCTACGACAGAAAATCACGAACAGACTGGCACAGAAAGGCAACGGGCATCTCGATTGGAAAGCAATAGCAGAGGCACTCATCGCAATAAATAATAAATGTGGCCTGGAAAATCATCCTAAGTATCACGATTAGTAAAGAATAAATGACACTCCACGACTCCACGCCACGATAAACTGACATTAACGCTACAATTGGTGTCGAACAAATGGGTATTTATGCTAGTAACTTGTGCACGTACACATCACAAGGTCATACTTTTTTGACTGCAAAAGTACGCTTCCAGCTCGGACGTTGACAACAGTGTTCCCTTGTACTGTCTAGTGCTGAACCGCCTCGATGTATATCATGCGTACAGGATTCTTTTGACACTAGTATGGTGTGGTAGTTTTAATTTTATATACATCCCTTGGCCTTGTAAAAATCCTTGGTTGAATTTGTGTATTCAGGCGGATAGTATACTACTTCTACTATATACACACTCTAATTCTACTATATATACACTCGCAAATTAATTCCCTCGTTGACTTAAGCGAGAAGAGAAAGCCCGGTTCTTTGTATACAGGACTGCCAAGTGTCGCTTGAGCATTGAATATACGATCATGGTTCATAAAAATTGAGGGTTGTCTAGTTACAAGAAGAATATTTATCAACATAATATATTATATAAATAAATATAATCAAGGTATTTACATAATATTAAATTGTTATAAACTATATATTGTTGTGCATAGTACTAAATTAAAAATCAGAAACAAGAAGGCTATGATTGCTTTTAGGTCTCTTGGCTATGATTGCTTTTAGGTCTCTTGACTATGATTGCTTTTAGGTCTCTTGGCTATGATTGCTTTTAGGTATCTTGGTTATGATTGCTATTAGGTCTCTTGGCTATGATTGCTTTTAGGTCTCTTGGCT